ACGATAACTTTCGCATTACACATTCCCCACATCGTTAGTGTCACGAAAACTATCGAATTGCCTGTAACTTTATTTCACTTCCTGTGTTCAATTCTAAATTATAAAGTGAAGTATTCCGATTAAACATTTTGAGCTGATTCAAAAACTTTTTCAAGAATATTTGGGAGTACAGCGTACTTAGTTGAGATATCTAATGGTATAAAGTCAAATAATAAAATCGCTCGCCTATTCTGACTATTGATTCTTTGGACCACGTACTGAAATACGAATATGATCTTATTCGTTATTCCTACAAAAGTTTCCCTTTTAAAACAAACTTCAAACGCTTTATGTATATTTACTTAAACTTAATTCGTTACGTGTGTATTTTTAATTAATTCGCATTCGTTAATTAATACAGAAATCATTCATTCATTAACAAATTAAACCTTATTTTGATTTATTTTCTATCCACGTGTGCCTTTGTGTTATTTACGCACCTTCTACGGTGAAACACGTCGTCCATCATTTTAGTTTTTTCCCCTTCAGCTGGTCCACGTCCACTTTCACTTGATATTACTTATTGGGTCAAAGCTTAAAAATGCGGTACCTATAAATATTAGTGCAAATAGTGGGAAAGCAACATTCGTTAAATGACAATCCTGGGTGCAAAATCTGCGCAAGTCGCGGCTGCAGAGTGCGTCGTGTGTTCAAGGCAAACCGTCCACTATGTGGATTCCGAAGAAAGAAATTACGCGAAGAGCGATCCATCATCTCTATCAAGCCACCTTCACGCTGCGGACGAAGATTTTGGCAGAATTTCCGAGAACACAAGAAAGTTGAAAATTTTCACGGCGTAACACATACTAGGATTCTGTAGCCGGTCCGTGCAAAACGCAGATGGAGGACTAATTCCTTTCTTCTTAACCACCACGACGAGCGATCTCGATTATTCCGGTCACCAACATTGCTTCGACTTCGTCAGCGATCATTCGTTCCTTTTCTGGGAAACAATTATCGGGGGACCTCGGAAGAGTGTCTCTTGGCTCAGCGGAAGTCGATGAAAAGTAGTGCCGGTGAGGGACGGAGGGATGTGTTGATCTATTTTCTTTTTTTTACCATTATTGTATGTATAACAAAAAATTCACGCGCGTCCGAGGTTCGAACCCGAGGTGTCACGTTTAAAGTCAGCGATCTAGTCATGTGCGTCAATCAGATGGCAGTGGTAGTTTTAGTTTTATAAAACTGTTTAAATTTTCAAAATCTTCGACCACCCACCACCGCCGCGCCATCCGCGAAATTGGTGCCAGGCCAGGCGGGTATGCTATTAGCATAATACGTAACTATCTAATATCTAAATATCAACAATAATAAAACTGTTTAAGAAAATGTGCCACTATGGCTCTCCTACTATACCTATAGCGAAGTTCATATTTGGAAAATAAATGAGTAGCTCGCAATTTCCAAACAGTGCTCTTCTCTTACCGTCATCTTCAACCATACTCGCTAATTAACGAGAATTGCTAGGGCAAATTGCAATTAACCCTTTTAGTGCGCACTTGCACAAATAGCGAAATTGTGAATGTCTCACTAATTTCATACCTCGTGCCTTTTACAGAATTCATAAGTGCGAGTATATAATTGAACGTAAAAGACGCCCACGTTTTACCCCTCATTAAGGAACTAATTACACTTGTGAAAATGGAACGCGAAACCTATAATTTCTTTTCTGTTTCAGAAGCGACGGAGAAAACTTTATAACGGAGGGGCTGCGAACTGCCCTGGCCCGACTGCGACAAAAATCAAGTTCCCCCGGTAGCCAGTCGTCCCCATTCCAGCAACCTATCAGCCCATCACCTCATGTAAGTTTAATTTATAAACTGAGTGTACAGACACTACCGATCTGATATAGGTAATTTGTGTATAAGATGCTAGGCCGATGAATTTCTAGGTACGAACTAAAGAACATGCTAAAATTGGTGATTTATTTAGGTAATACTACTGTAACTGGGAAAAAGACTCTTGTAAATGTCAAAACACGCTATCAATTGCGAAGAAAATAATCGGTGGATAGAAAATGCGTAGCAATTCGCGAATAAGAAATGTAAACGTATAACAGTAATTGCATAGTGCGTATACAGGGTCTCTTATGGTAGCTGTTCATTAGACAATATCAATTGAAATAGTATATTGAAAGACAAGTGTTACAATGCGACCTATTGTAATCCGACTATCTTGTGGCACGAGTGCCGACGCGAAGCGTAGCCACGAGTGTCCGCAAGATAGGAGTATTACAATAAAGCATTGTAACACGCGTTTTTCATACTATTTTTTCTATTTCGGTGCTTTAATTTAATTAAAAAGATCATTATCAGAAACTATAGGGAACATTAGAACTAACATGATTTATGTTGGGAACACTTTTTATGCCGTTAAGTTTTAGGTTGGCAGCGTAGTAAGCCTGACATTTTTAATTTGCGTACTTTCCATTTATTTTTTTAAAATGAATTCAGAACGTCCGGATACTCCCCCTGAATTACGTAGCATCGCTAACAATGCGGTTGACAAATTACTACCCACGAAGTCGCAGGCAAAGTACCAAAAAGAGTACGAGATATTTAGTGCATGGTGCGGCACGAATAAAGTAGAAGCGATAAGTGAAAACGTTTTATTGGCATATTTTAATGAAATGAGCCTCACTAAAAAATGCTCTACAATGTGGTCGAACTATTCGATGCTTAGGACCTGCCTTTCCATATACAAAGATATCGATATATCAAAGTTCGCTAAGCTTCATGCATCTTTAAAAAGACAATCGGAGAATTACCAACCAAAAAAATCTAAGATATTAGACTCCGATGATATTAATAAATTCATCACTGAAGCTAGCGACGATTTGTTTCTTGCAATGAAGGTATTATGACCACCATGCATGTTCACTTCTAAATTTATTGCTTTGTAGGTCATATTAATTATCGGGTATTGTGGCGCATGCAGGCGTGATGAATTAACAAATATGTCCGTTAATGACATACAGTTTAAATCCGATACAGTGGTCATCACACTCCCTAAAACAAAAACCAATATTTCCCGAACATTCGTAATTACGAACGAACCATGGATACACTTGATTAAAAAATATGCCCAATTGAGACCTGCCAATACCATACATAGACGATTTTTCCTGACGTACAGAAAGGGTAAATGTACGGTATCACCAATGGGAATCAACAAGATTGGGGAAGTTCCCAGAAATATTGCCACATTTCTTCACTTGCCCAATCCTGGGCAATACACAGGGCACTGTTTCCGCCGATCCTCTGCAACACATCTTGCTAACCAAGGTGGGGACCTCCTTTTAATAAAAAAAACATGGGGGATGGAAATCATCTGCAATTGCGGAGAGCTACATCGATGATTCCTTAGCTAAGAAAACTAAAGTGGGGCAGATGTTTTCAAGCAGTTCACATGTTGAACCCTCATCCTCTGTAACATCATCGATAAATACTATTCCTCATACTATCACCTCATCATCGATACCTCAGCAACTGCAGGAAACTAATTTAACTTCTACCTCGACTTCTACTCAAAACCATAACATTGTTTTATCTGATCAGTCGGTTCCAGGTATTTCAATATCTGCAAGTGACAATGCTACAGTTACAATAAAAATGTATAGTCATTGCAGTATTAAAGAGGATTAAGTACCTAACCTATACTTACAGAGACTGACTGCAACGTTTTTTTTCTAATAATTATTTTGTTCTACTGTATTACATAATCTTAGGAACTCATCCATTAGGTAGTCCATTTGCCATGAGTTAATTATACCTATTTCAAATTGTATTTCTCATTAAACGTTCGTTATTCTAGTAATAGTATTTACCTTGATAACTTTGCTTTTACTTAGAAAGCTACGCATTTTCACAGCAGATTTGCATACAAATAGGTTATAAGCCCGTAGCCCGTACCCGTAGCACTAACTAGCACAGGTACGTAGTAAAGTAAATGCTCTTTGAGCTTTGAGCATGCACACAAAAAGCGCGCGAAATTTGACAAATTTGCATTGTATTAATGCACACCTACAGGTTCAGCAGTCAAGCATATTTGTCACCGGTGACCTGTTAGGTCCACTGTCAAAACACCTCTTAATCCACACCTACAGGTCCACCGTCCATCTCAGTTGATTAAAACTGTTTGACGATGACATTGCTGTAATTGGTGTTTTATTTACAACAGATTCAAATCGTCAACTTAAGTACGAAGTGTGTGTATGCTGTACAAACTGGTCGGAAAAGAGGTACCTTTGATAGAACAAGATACTGTTTTGAGGCAATCTATTGCGGCTCATGAAAGCCACCTCCGAGGTTTCTGGCCACTGGAAGGACATACGCAGATATGAAATTTTCGACAATAATTTCACCTCAAGCCTTAAAACTGAGTAAATGGACATGGAGAATGGAGAACTTACCATTGATAACTGACAGATCAACCAGGAATTTGTACACACCTACAAGTTGAAGGGTGAGGTGCACCTGTGATCTGTCAACTTTCACGGCAGGGGTTGTCATTTCATAAGTTACGAAAACTGACAGTTTTTTATGAGGCGCCGTTTGTGCCATAAATATATTTATAAAAATAATGGGGATATACAGAAATGAAAGCAATATATAATATAAATCTCATTAAACTATTAAAATATATCACACATTTCATATTATATATCAATGCCGAAAAGAAATAATTCACATCGCATTTTTATCCCTATCCGCTTTTATTTCCATCACCGCAGTTTAAAAATATCCATCAAATAGCGTGTGCCAAAATGTAATGTTGGTTGCGGTCGGTAGCCGCAGTTTCTATATTCAGCGGCGCGATGTGATTCGCGCAATCAGCTGTTGGTTGTCTTGATGATTTTTGCGGTTGTTTTCGTCAACTGGCAGTAACAGGTGAAAAAAGTGCAACATTTAATTAGAATAATTTTAATTCGCAATCCTTAGACATTCAGGTAAGTTTTTCTAGCTAGTTTACCCGTCGACATGTAGCTGTAGCCTGTAACCTTTATTTATTGGGCACCTTATCATCATTTATTTATTTTGTTCTCTGCATGTTCCTATTTACGTCATTGCAATAGACCTTTTCGAAAATTTTGTTGAAAATTGTCAATGTTTCAGTCCGACTATGGAAATTCAACATTATTTTGAAGAAATAATTGTGGATGTTGATCAACTGGACTACTTATTAATGCACAACAATCATGATGTCAGGCTATTAGAAGAAGGTGGTCTCAAAATGGAAAACCATTGCCATGCTTTTAGTGTCCTGGTCAGTGCTTGTGAAAATGTTCCTGAACTACATGCCAAGCTCTGCAGAGTATATACATTAATTTGGACTTTACTTCAGATAGTGGAAAATAAACTGGAAGGTGGAGTAACAAGTAATGATGGGTTCCATTCTAATGGGGAGTAAATTTTTAGGCTGTGGTTTACCTGACTGGCCATCATTCCAACTAAGTCTCCTACCTACACAATCTGTAGGCAGACCAAGCTATGATATTCAATATGACCAGGTAGCGTTCTTGAGAAATTTGGGCATGTCTTGGTCTGGGATATCAAAAGCTCTTAAAATATCAAGGCGGACCTTGTATAGGAAGAAGGCAGAATGGTCCTTTGAAAATATTGAAGCTAACATTTCTAACGAAGACTTAGCAGTATTAATTCAGGAAATTTTAACTCAAACGCCAAATGCAGGCGAGGTANTATGTACAGTCTCTTGTAAAAGTAATGTCCCTCGGATACCTACCACTGTAGCATAGGCAACCAACATCCCAGCCGCCTAGTCCAAGTTGGATTTGCGGGTGTGCGAGGTAGCTATCTAATGCGGTTCATTTTCAGCAGATATTCCCATTTAGCCAAACTAAATACTAGTTAGTAGAATAAAAGTGAATGCCATCGATTTATTAGCTCAAAGGATCTGCGCTGCACATCCTTGGTTTGGTGCAGTAAACATTTTTACATTTCTTACAATTGGTTTGGTGCGTTTTAAATTTGCAAATAGTTTAGCTAGAGACTATTAAGACAAAATAATGGCCTTTCACTTTTTAATTTTTTGAGTAGGTTTTCTTCTAACGAAATAAAGGTGACATTCTTGTCCTTTAATGACATTGAAATTCCAGTGTCATTAATAATTACTTGCGAGTAGGTCTCCTCATGGAATGCGATTAATTGCCCTACAAGTGCACTGTGCAACAATACCTTTCTTTTGTAACTAGCATCAGAAATTAAATGATATGCATTTGTGATACTTGGTCGTGGTTGATTTAATATCGAATTTAGTTTAGGAGAGCTTTTACGTTGCATATTTTTGAGTAGGTAGGCATATTATAAGGATATTTAGTCCAGGTTATAGGTATATTTTTTGACAAAAAAAATTAGTTACCAGTTAAACCGGCTTTTTCATGCAGGTGAAATGATTAGAAATTAGGGAAAAATAATTAAAACAGCTGAATTTTTCCGCGGGTGTCATCCCGGGGTTTGAAAGGAGTGGGAGGTGGTAGTTACAAAAGGAACGGCATTGTCGCGCTTCCAGTGCAGATAATCGCATTCCATTAGGAGGCCCGAGTAATAATAATGAGACATCAATTTCAATGTCAGTATAAAACGACAAAATCATCACATTTATTTTGTTAGAAGAAAATCTACTCGAAAAAATTAAAAGTAAAAGGTCATTATTTTAGCTAAACTATTTCCAAATTTAAAACGCACCAAACCAATTGAAAGAAATGTAAAAATTTCTATTGTATTAAACCAAGGATAGATTAAAGCAGCGCAGATCTTTTGAGCTAATAAATGCCATTCATTTTCATTCTACTAACTTATTTTTAGTTTGGCAAAGTGGGAATACCTGCTGAAAACGAACCGCATTAGATACCTACCTACCTCCCACACCCGCAAATCCAACTTGAACTAGTCGGCTGGGATGTTGGTTGCCTATGCTACAGTGGTAGGTATCCGAGGGACATTACTTTTACAAGAGACGTACATGTGCTACTGAGATAATGTAAACGTGTCGCTAGCAGGAATTGCTATGAATTTCTCGCCAACTTAAAACTGTATGTAAATAGATCTCCATAAAAACAGCAACAAAAGTCCATGGTTCTTTGCACGCTTGCAGACATTTTGCATAGACGACTGTTTGACAACAAAAGGTAAAGTTACGAATAATACGAATACAGCGGTGAATCACAATCCGATCACTTGTCACAAAAATAATGTCGCATCAGGAATCGTTTACAACTTACAAGAATGGCCATTTCATTTCCGTAAATGATCATATGTTAGGGTGTCTGTAAGCATTTATTATTAGCCCATGATAAAGGTAATGGAATAAATACCGTTCGCTTTTCTAGGTTAGAATCCACTTGGTTTTGTTGTGTATAACGTTGACAATGCATTTATTGTTTAACCTCGTGTTTAAAGGTGGGTTCATAGCTCTCCGTTCATCCGTTGCGTTGATCCGTCAAACGGATAGTACATTTTGTTAAGGTTCATAGCAATCCGTCCACATTGTACATTTGCAACGTATAACCATAACCTAAATTTTATTTTGTACTGTACCCTCCGTGATTTTCAGTATGAAAAAATGGTACGAAAATAAGAACACGTTGCTATCTGAATATCACCGTGAAGAACGAATAGGCGAACACTGTTAACGTACCAAACATAACCTCACTCTTGTTAAAAACGGACCAACGGAAACGTAAATGTTCAACTTCAACCAACTTTTCCGTCGTAAACGGACGACGTACGATTTAAAAATTTGCTGCCTTCTGATTGGCTAACGGACAAACGGAAACGTATGAACGGAGAGCTATGAACTTACCTTAACACGTACAATTACTTGAATATTGGGAATTCGTTTACGCTGTACTATGAATCAATAAATATATTTCTCCAATTTGATTTGACATCTGCTGTTGATCTGTTGAAGTTCAAAGTTTAAATATGGAAGTACCTACTTGTACTAACTAGTAACTGCCAACTTAAGAGATTAGTTACCAAAAAAACGACTATAATCACTGTCTTTGTGCAACTGGTCGAAAACAGTTGTACAAAATCATCATTGTGACACCGAAATAGAAAAAATTAGTTACCTAACTGTCCTTTTCAAACTACTAAATTTTAATTTCAAATATATAAAACTACGCATTGATCCGTTATATATTAAATTAAACACAGAATCCTATTTAACAAAATTGAACCAGAGCGTCCGAATAAACAAACCACGCATACGCGATCAATTACAAATTAAACAAACATCAAGAAATTTTAAAATTACTTACAGATTTCGAGTTACAAAATCCCAATAAAAGCTGGGTACACAAGAACACTAATTACTAAAGGAAACAATGCATTTAACTGATATGTTACGCACAAAAACTTGTTCTTCTTAATTCATTTTCCCAAACAGGTTGTAGATACGTTGATTGTGATATTTGGCTGAACGCAAAAATACGTCACCGATAAGTCGAACGGCTGTCCATACAACGTGGATTTCAATGAAACTGCTATTCCCAGAACGTACTGGCTTCTGTTTGACAAGTTTGTTTAACAACGACGAAAGGCGACTACATTTGCCACCAACTTAAACGTAAACACGTGTGTGTTCTCAAATTTCAGAACATCCCTCCCTAGATAGCATTGAAATTTCTCGACCAATTAAGAACCGTTAGTAACTCGATAAGCCACAATCAGCAACCTGCGATAGGACACGTGTTTTGGTCATGTACGCGAATTTTTACTCGGAATTATCTTAAATATAACATTTCTACGAAAACAAAACAGTTTTTTACGGTTAAAAAAACCACCTTATCGCTAGCCAATTACATTAATAAATACTCAATAAATCAAGTCGGAGCGGTCGCAATTAACAAAACAAATCGATAACAGACATTGAGATAAAAATGCTCTTAACCTTAATTCTAAGAAATGCCCTTTCTTTTTACAATGAAATAAATAAACTAGATCTAACCCCCAACGTCCAAGCTGACATTGTTTACACGGCAATATGATTACGAAACTGGTAGTCGCAAAGTTTACAGTAACTCACAAAAAAAATTACCACTACAATTCGTCTCGCTTATGCAGGTGCGGCTAAACCTAAATAAATCAACCCCTGAAACTGATATCTATTCTGGGCAAAAATGCTTGCTTTAAAAGTATCGTATATAACTCGCTATTTATTATCGTTCTATCTTTCTCATGACGCACAACTTATGCGTGGTATCATAGCAATACTTATTTTTAATAAGAGCTGGAAACTGTTGGCGGTTGGTAACAACAGGATGGTGCACCCACTCACAACGCCCCAATCGTGCGAGAATAACTATCGGGTAAATTTTCCATTTTCCAGAAAATTTGTCTTACATCTTACACAAGCTTGTCGTGTAGATTTCGAACTCCTCAAGATGATTTTACAAACCCATCTGGGAAGTAACAATATGATTCCGATTAACCACGTTTCGATGGAACTTCCAGTTGCAAGTACATTTTACTTTTTTATAGAATTTTACATTTGAAATTAATCAATCGAAGCAAAAAGTCTTTGTGAAACATTTTACATATTAGCTTAACTTCTCGTGTAAGTTTTTCAAGTGTTAAATCAGATCAATTCTCTATTAAAAAAAAATTATTTAGACCGAGAAGAGTATCGGAATTGCAGACTAACGTTGAGTAGGTGTTCGGTTAGAATTTAAAAATGTATTATTTTGGTGCTTTGCAAAGGAATGTACGTACGTAGTTTTACTAATCAATTTCGTTTCGGCGTGGCAGTGAAAAAAATCGATCGCCTTTCAACTGTTGATTAACAATGGGTATGATAATTAATTGACCTTAAAGGTTAAGTTACAATGGGAATTAAATTGTTTCGGAGGGTTGTAAATTCGTATTTTCCAACCGATCACCAATTTTAAATACGATCGGAACAGTAAAAACGGTATCCAAAGTGGCGGATTTTTTATTTAATTTATTTGCCTAGTAAATTTATCGAGCGATGAAAAGGAAACTTCTAAAGTATATCTATCAAAAAATGCGTAGCAGAACATTGAAATGATTACTTGCCGGTTTTTAACCTCACCATTAAAAAAATTGGGAGGGTATTGAAATCACTCTAAATTTAGATTTTAAGATTTCACCAGATATTTACGTTTCAATGTACCAGGAGTCCAAACAAGTGCTTTTTAAAAAAAGTCTGTGTATTGTATGATTTTTGTCATCAAGGTTCAGCCGAAACTACCCGAGCGATTTGGTTTAAATTTGAAACAGATGTTCTCTTAAATGGTTTCGAGAGCCGAAGCGATTTACCAAATCCCTTTTTGTCAATAGAATCGATATTTATTGAATTACGTCTACTTTGTAAGGAGTAAACCCATTTGGCTGAAGTTTTGTACCAATGTTCTCTCTAATGGTCCTGAAAGCGGGGACGGAAACGATTGGAAAATGGGAAAGGCCCTTGGGGCTATCAAGCTTTTATTTATTACGACCTTCTGCAGGGGCACCTCTAAAAAGCGGGTCACTCTGTAATTCGGCGAAAGCCTGTTGAGGGCCCAATACAAAAAAGGGACAATTTTTTTTGATTTTGTTTGATTCCTGGTGCGCCAAAACGTGTATTTTCTTCAAAAAGTGTGGGGTTCATTTTTTACCCTATTGCAATACTTGTACTTCCTTTACTTACCGGGCGGGTGGTAAAAAAATATAAATCCAGATAATTTGTTTTTGTTTGTTCAATGAAAATTTCCTTGTTTCGAGTTAACCGGTGGTCATTTCCAGTATAAGTCAAAATTTAATAGTGTTGTTTCATTTAAATTACAGATTTACGCAACTTCAAGGTTTTGATAAGTCAGTGTTGAGATTTTCCAGCGTTTCGTAACCCAGATGGACCCTAAGATTCAATGTGTTTTTAATTATTAAAAATAAAGTTTGTTGGAAGATGGTAATAGAAAGTTACA